GGTTGGAGACTGTTGTTGACATGGCTCAGAATCGATCACAATGGCGTAAGTGTATACACTCTTTATCTTCCCTTAAACTATGAACTCTACGAACTCATTCTTTTTTCTTGTATTATATCCTTATACGCATTCTTTCTTTTATATATTAACACCACTGAATTAACAAGTTCTATGAATTTGGTGTTCATCTTGTTGTGCTAATGAGTGAAGTGTGACAACTTGTACCGATGTATATATCTGCCTGATCCTAAGTTGTAGCTGACTGATTGACTTTGGGCATTTATCTATCTCACATTCGCACATATACATGCTCTTCTAAAGTATATAAATTAAAATATTTTAAGTTATTCTTATCATAGTTTCACTGTGTTTAATTCAATCTCTTATAATATGAATATCACATATATTACACTTGTACACAATTTGTTTCATGTTCAATTAAATTATAATTGGTCTTTTTTTTTAGATTTTACTCTCTGATATTTTTGGCACAGATACGGATCATGTTTTGTTTATTTGTAGGCGTCTGTTGTATAGCATATGTTGTTCTATAAATTATCAATGGTAATTATGTTTCTCTAATTTTATTTTCTGTTAAGATTGATATTATGAACGGATCAATGTTAGATTACCATTGAAAAATTGGAAGTACTGGATGGCTGTTTCATTCTAATATTGGGACTCAGTGGTCTAGAGATTAAGCGTTCATGTGCGAGACCGAAAGTCCTTGATTCGAGTCCCTCGTGCGGGATCGTGGATGCGCTTTGTTGAGGAGTCTTATACTAAGACCGAACGGTCATTCAGTGCTTCCAAGTTTTCAGTGTTGGTCTAACATTGATCCATTTATTATATCAATCTAAACTCAACAATCTCCACAATCATATATTGATTTGTTTCCTGTATTTAACTATTATTTTATTAGAGATAGCCTATTATCGAATTTATGAAATAATCTTGTGATTTTACAGTCACTTTTAAAATGATTAGCAAAGTCCTATTTGAACCGGAAATATTTCATAATCGAGATTATGAAATCGGCTTGAGTTTAGTGATTTTAGGTAGTTTTTTTGTATTGATTTTCTAATACTCAGTTTTTCAAGTTTATTTATTTGAACACATAACTATTCTTACAAAGGGGTACCGAATACATATGCGCTGCATAAGTCACTTGATTTTTGTGTGGGTTTAGATACTGACCGGGTGCCCAAACCAAAGCAGGTAGTTATCTTAGGAGTTCACTCCCCGAGCCTTTGACGTAAACGTCTAATCCAAAAGGCAGTGGAGTAACTTCAGGAGATGCAGTCCTATGGTAGCCGGTGACCAACGATTGGTTCATATGCCATTTGTTCCCTCAGGATAGTGGAGCCAGCCCATATGCATCATTGGTTTGGAATGAGGGTTTTCCAACTCCTCTAGGTGAACTCTCCATGTCCATCAACCCGGTTAAAGATTTGGACATTCTTTTTTCGTCCTCTCAATTTCATGAACAACAGTAATGCCGTGAGAAGGTAGTGAGTAAGACTTCCCTGACAATCAGTGTGTACGCCTGGCCATATAAGAGCATTTAAAGAGAGAGAGAGAGATTATTCTTCCCACCCTCGGTCGTACCACGGCATTTTTTGGCGGGAATAACGCTACCATAAAATCTCATTCATCTGAACACATCATAGGGATTTGTTTGATTTATGTATTATGCATAGTCGGCATAGAACCAAATTGAGCATTTACCTACTACTTGGTTCACGGCGGTTTTTACACTTTATCACAACAATAAACAATTTGCCCTAATAGTTTTAAACGTGCTCTAGATTATACCATGGTGATATATCTACCAAGGTTTTTTATGTGATGCAAAATAAAAGACATGCTGTTTTTAATCGTGATCATGAACCTGTTGATGTTAGACCACCATTAAAGACCTGAAAGCACTGTTGAGGAGTCCCACAGTAGGAAGAAATGGCCATTCACTGCTTCCAGTTTTTCAATGGTTGTCTAGCATCAATCGGTTCATGATCTCCACAACCCTATACTGAGAACATTCTGGGTTTTTTTTACTTTATAATTTTGTATAAGAAACCGATAGCCTTGTTACTATCGTTTAATAGTTACACTTTTTTCCTCCTGTTGTTTATTTATTCTTTTGGAAATTACCCTTCAGTAATCCAGTTAGTTAATCAATAAGGGAGAAAGAGAGAGAAAGAAGGAAAGAAAGAAAAAAAAAACAAGACATAAAACACATCTAGATAATTGTAAATGGTTCATCTTCTATTTTTAACAAACAACCTAATTGGTTTCTTTTTTACACCATACACTTCTTTTTGAAATTATATTGTCTGACACCATCATCATTTTCACTGTAATAAAACACACAAAACAGTTTAATCTCATTGAATTGAATATAATATCTATTTAGAATTAATGTGTTGTGTATATTTTGACATGGGAATGTTTCTTCCATCCATCTTCCTTCAATATATATAGGCATGTGTGAATGTTATTCATAATATCATTATGAGAGGGAGACAAAAAGTAATCTGATAAATTAGTAATAAAAAAGTTTGATATTACTTATTTAGTGAATAATACAATAAAAGTTGTCTCTTTAAGCTCCTAAATGCATTGGTACGGCTGAGAGTGGAAAGAGTCAGCTCTCCATCACTAAATGCTCTCACATGACCATGTGGATACAACTACTGTCAGGGAAATCCTACTCATTTCCTTCTCAGGGCGGTGGTGTTGTTTACGAAATTTAAAGGATGAAAATGGAATGCCCGGTGCTTTAACCGGGTTCCTCTTTCTTCTGGTAGTCTACTGAATTATAAAGACCTCGACATTTGAGGGAAAAAACGGCATACAATCGACAGTTCGGAATCAATTAGACGATTTGAACTTCGCAGGTGACGTAGCCCTCCTGTCACACATACACACGACCAAATGTAGATAAAGACAGCCAGTGTAGCAGCAGTTTCTGCATCAGTATGCCTCAACATACACAAGGGGAAAACCAAGGTCCTCAAATACAACACGGAAAACACCAACCCAATCACACCTGACAGTGAAACTCTGGAAGATATAGAATCCTCCACATACCTGGGAAGCATCATCAATGAACAAGGAGGATCAGATGCAGACGTAAAGGCGAGGATTAGCAAAGTAAGGGCCAAATTCCTACAATTGAAGAACATATGGAACTCAAAACAACTATCTATCAACCAATATCAAATTCACAATCTTCAATACAAACATCAGCACAGTTAGTTCCATAGTACGGCGCTGAAACGCGGAGAACTACCACAACCATTATCAAGAACGTATAAGTATTTATAAATAGTTGTTCAAACAAGATACTCAACATCCATTGGCCGGATACCATCAGCAAAAGCCTACTGTGGGAGAGAATAAACCAACTTCCATCCAAAGAAGAAATCAGGAAAAGACGATGGATAGGACATACATTGAGGAATTCATCAAACTGCACCACGAGTCAAGCCCTAACTTGGAATCCTCATGGGAAGCGGAAAAGAGGAAGGTTAAAGAACATATTACGTCGGGAAATAGAAGCAGATATGAAAAGGATGAATAACAACTGGGAAGAGCTGGAAAGGATTCCCCAGGACAGGGTTGGGTGGAGAATGCTGGTGAGTGGCCTATACTTTTTCACGAGGAGTAACAGGCGTAAGTTAACCGGGTTGGTGGATATAAAGGATCCACCTAGTTGGGTTGGGAAACCCTCATTCCAAACCAATGATGCACATGGGCTCCAGTATCCTGAAGGAACAAATGGCTTATGAACCTATTGTTAGTCACCGACTACCATGTGACTGCATCCCCTTACGTTGCTCCACTACCTTGTGGATTAGACCTGTAGGCCGAAGGCTCCGAGTGTGTCCTCCCAAGAAAATCACTTGCTTCGGTTTGGGCACCCGACCAGTATCTTAGCCCTCACACAAATTGAATGATTTATATGGCGCATATATATTCGATGCCCCTTTGTACCAATGTTTATGTGTTTAAATGAACAAATGAGTTCCACTTCACATTACAGTCCATTTTATGATTTCAATGGTAATTAAACTATGAATATTGATTGAAAATTAGATTCGATATTATGCATAAAATATCGTTTTTTTTTCATAATTATATTTGAGTGTTGTATTGAAGATTATTGAGTCTTTCAGTTTTACATTACTAACTGATAATAATTAAATAAGCAATTGAAAATCAGGATTCACTAAAGATCTGTTTCATGACAATTCGAATCCACAATCTTACTATAAATTAAACATGAGATTTTCAGATATCCTTGCAACCGACCAGCATTCTCCAATCCACTCACTCTATTCTGGGCCTTCCTTTCTAGTTCTATCCAATTGTTGTTCATTCTTCTCATATCTGTCTCCATTTCTCGGAGTAATGTGCTTTTTAGTCTTCCTCTTCTCCTTTGTCCTTGAGGATTCCATGTGAGATCTTACCTTGTGACACAGTCGAGTGCTTTCCTCAGTGTGTGTCCTATCCACTTCCAGCACTTCTTTCTGATTTCTTCCTCCGCTTGAATCTGGTTTGTTCTCTCCCACAACAGTAGGTTGTTGCGGATGGTGTCTGACCAACGGATCCGAAGTATTTTGCATAGACAGCTGTTAATAAACACATATATCTTCTGAATGCTGGCTTTCGTAGTTGTCCAAGTTTCCTCCCCATACAGTAGAACTGTTTTGACATTTGTATTAAAAATTCTGACTTTAGTTTTGATTAACAGACATTTGTTTTGAGTTCCAGATGTTCTTCGGTTATAGATATGCTGCTCTTACTTTACCGATCCGCGCTTTCACGATCATACCTAATACTATACTCAGACCAATCCACCTTGGACAATAAACATTTGTATTTATTGAGTTGTTCACTGCAATGTGTGTTTTTTTTGTCCTCAAATTTTCGATAATACTCCAGTTATGTTATTACATAATAAATGTCTAATATACTTTTATATCCTTTTTGTTTAGAGCATCTGGTGTTGTTTACAGTGGAATTGAATCAACAACTGGACGTCGTGTTGCAATAAAACAAATGAATTTAAAAAAACAACCTAAAAAAGAATTAATTGTTAATGAAATTTATGTAATGAAAGTTAAAAAACATCCAAATGTTGTTAATTATTTAGATAGTTATCTTATTGGTGATGAATTATGGGTTGTAATGGAATATTTAGATGGTGGTTCATTAACAGAAGTTGTTACTGAAACATTAATGGATGAAGGACAAATTGCAGCTGTATGCAGAGAGGTAAGTGTGCATATATATACCATGTTCTTTTTTGACTCAGTAGTTATAAAGTAAAATGAAATATCAAGTTAATAGAAGTAAGTAATAGTATTAGTGGTGGTCAGTCAGTTAGCTACAACGTAGGACCAGGCAAATATATGCATCGGTCCAAGTTGCCATACCTCATTAACACAACAAGATGGACACCGGATTCATAAAAGTAGTAGTAGTAGTGGTAGTTAAAACAAAATTACAAATCGAAACTATAATTCAAGAATAATAAATCTATCGAATTACGAATAAAACAATAGTGTTAAAAACTGTTTATGTTAATCTGGGCCATCTTTGGCGCCTTCATGATGTTAGTCTGCCTGTAAATGGTCGAATCTACAACGCGTCGGTGAGAGCAGTTTTGCTCTGTCCTTATGAAATCTGTCCTCTCCGAGTTGAGGATGTTAGACGACTCTCTGTGTTTGATCCTTGTTGTCTTCGAAGGATTGTTGATATTCAGTGACAACACCATGTTAGTAATGCAGAGGTTCGGCATCGTGTGTTTGAACACAGAGACGATAATTCAATTGGTGTTACTATCTTGAAACATCGACTTCGGTGGCTTGGACATGTTATACGAATGTCGTCCCAGAGAATTTATTTGCCAACACTGGGACTGGTTGGAAAAAGCGGAGAGGTGATCAATGCACTCATTTTGGTTGTGAGACAAACATCTAGCGTATACCATAAGTGATGCAAATTGACAAAATCTTGGTAGGTTATCTAAATTCGTACCAATATTTCATCCGACACAAACCCACCAGTATCGATAAGACTCCCAGCTAGTTCATACTTTCTTGGTCAATTTAGTAAATGTGAGAAATAAATTTCAAATATCTACACACTTCAATGTCGATTTGTGAGTTTTCAGGAACAGATGTATATTTTTTTTCAAAAAAACTTCGGTATCTTTTCATCTGTTTTTATTTTAAAGTACTCAGGTAGGTAAGTTGAGTAAACAAAACACGCTAGATGTTTGTCTCACAATCAAAAGGAGTGTATACTTGACAGTAATCCTCTCTGGATTATTTCAAAGATAACCAAATGGTCTCTGAAAATACAAAACATGCGTAGGCTTCAAGTTTCTAAGTATCAGTCAGTCAGTCAGCTACAACGTAAGACCAGGCACATATGTGCATCGATCCAAGTTGCCATATCTCATTAGCACAACAAAATGAACACCGGATTCTCTGAGCTGGCTCACAGAACAAAACTTTATCATAATCATCCACCTGAGCTACAAATCTCCTCCACCATCCCACAGAGATTTTTCCTTATTTCCTTATACGAAATGCTTATAAAACTATGAAAAGTTTTTTTTAGGATATATTTCCCAATTCCTTTTTCATTTATTTATTTAATTTGTGTATATAGACAAGCAGAAAGGCAGTTTTTTTATATATGGAATATATATCCTGCATTTTAAGTTTAGAAAATTGAACGTTTCCCTTTAGATTTCGATCTGATTGGTACGTAATCGATTGTAGCTATGAAAATATCGTATCAACTACACACTAATTTCAGTGTATTCACTGTCTTACTTAACAGTGAAATCAAGAACTCATTTTTCCTATTTGGGACTAGTCAGTTGGATCTACTTACGACATCGCAGTGTTGATGTCCACAATTAGACTTGAGTTCATCAACCATCGCTTCAAACACAATCTTGTTATTCACTAAACCATATAGTAAATATTGTAAAACTTCAAACTTTATGAATATGTCAAGACAATCGTTTCATGGTGGACGTACACCAGCAGAGACTGGTAAATTACAGTTCTGAATATCAACAACGGGGAATTACTAACTGTTAGTAATAACTAAGTAAACTAGTGTTAAATGTCTTTAGTTTACTGTTGTTGTTTTTTTCACAAATCCTCCATACATCTAATAGTCATGTGCTCACTAGTGACTAATTTCTGTAATTCTAATGGGAAACTGTGAGTAGTAGAGTTCGACAATATCAAGTATAGGGCAATCATAGATTATTGACATCGGAAGATTGTTTCAAAGCATCGCAAACCGATTGAAGTCTGTAATATCCAATTATCAAGTCTTCAATTCATTGATCGAAAATATTAGGCACTTACCACAAAACCTGAAGCTGTTGTATATAGTCCCTCATGATGTAAGTGTGCACTTTCGAGAAGTTCCCACATTGAAATAAAACAACTGATCGATGTTTCTTTGCTTACAAATAATGAATCATATAGTCCTGTTTAGTGAAGACGTTGATAAAATACAGAGCGTTTTGGTAGCACTGAGCAACAATACCAGGCTGTTTGGGATGCGCTCCTCTCCCTCTAAACGCAAGTTGTTGCTTCAGGACTAGCTTGCGTCAATACCTGAACTAAGGATAGGAAGTGAAGTAGTCGGACGCGTTCACAACTTCACTTATCTTGCAAGTCTGATCAGATGCCTTAGAAATATTGCTCGCATCTGCTGGGATCACCGGGTAAGTAATAGTGAGATTAAACGCAAGGTTTTAGAGAATGATGTTAAATAAGTTGATGAGGTTGTTAATCTTCATCGACTGAGATGGTTGGGCCACGTGTTACGTATGCCTGAACACCGATTACCACGATGTGCAATGCTAACCGGTATTGGAGATGGTTGGGAAAAAGTTAGGGATGGCCAAACCAAAATGTAGCATCAGTGCTTGAAGTCACTAACTTTTAGTCTTAGCCATGTTAGTAGATCCGGACTACTTGATTGGAGTCCAAGTGACTATCGTAACGAATGATTGGAGACTGTGTGTGACATGGTTCAGAATCGATCACAATCTCGTAGGTGTATACACTCTTTGTCTCTCCTTAGAACGTGAGATTGAAATTGCTTTATACCTTTCTTTCTGTGTTATATCCTTTTATGTAATCTTGTTTCATATATTACCACCATTGAATTAACTACTATGAATTTGGTGTTCATCTTGTTGTACTAATGAGGTATGACCATTTAGATCGATATATATATATATATATATATATATATATATATATATATATATACCTAGTCCTACGTTGTAGCTGGCTGACTAAAAATAGTTATTTAATTATGTTCAGTCCCTGATGTTACTGTACAAAATTTTATTGAATGTTAATTTTTCTCATTCTATTTATTCTGTATTTCTTGTTTCTCTACATGTTTTTTTCTTCTTCTTCTTCTTCATCTTCGAAATACGTACACACTTGTGAATATGGTTGAATTCAATATGGTTATGATGGTGATGATACATTCAAATGATTGTTTATTATACTTCTATATTACAATACAGTGTTTACAAGCATTGGAATTTCTTCATAAAAATCAAGTGATTCATCGTGATATTAAATCAGATAATATTCTATTAGGATTAGATGGTTCAGTAAAATTAACTGATTTTGGCTTTTGTGCTCAACTTAGTCCAGAACAAACAAAACGTTCTACAATGGTTGGTACACCATATTGGATGGCACCAGAAGTAGTAACAAGAAAACAATATGGACCAAAAGTAGATATATGGTCACTTGGTATTATGGCTATTGAAATGATTGATGGTGAACCACCATATTTAAATGAAAATCCTGTTCGTGTAAGTTTTTATTTTTTTGAATATCTTCTTGTCTAGTAATCGCAACTTTAAATGATATATATTTAGGTGGCTAAAGTTACTCGCGTCTTTGCGACGTTTTCCCAGCTGACGAGTCCCAAATAGGACGAAATGCGCGTCAAACGGGATTCCACTGCTAGCTACTATCCATTTTTGCTTATAACTCATGTGACTTAGGGATATATCGAGGCAATCCGCACAGGATGTACATATGCCAGCATGAGACTGATCAATTGCAGTCCTAAATAACAAAATGAGAAGATACAAGTAAAACAACACCAAGTGAATTTTTACTTTCCGATTACTGCCTCTAATTTTACTAGTTCTACCACTATGGGATTTTGAATGGACAATTATATCTCTGTGCTAATGTTGTGGTATGAAAACTTGAACTGATGTACATACACAAGAAGTTCTACATTGTTGCTGATTGACTGAAAATGCTAGATCGAAAATGAAATATTTAGTGAAAATTATACTCCATTATACAATGCCTACGCTGACCAAATGAACAGAAAATATTTAGAAATCTTTGATACAAAACTTATTGAATATTTGAAACGTTGGGAAAATAAAACCTCTCAGTCTTGTAAATTTTTCCTTTGTTTTTGTTTTTATTATTTATTTATTTATTTCAACACATAAATATTGGTAGAAAAGAGCATCAAATACATATGCGCCACATAAGTCACTTGATTTGTGTATGGACTGTGATATTGTCCGGGTGCCCAGACCGAAACAGGTAGTTTTCTTAAGACGATACACCCGGAGCCTTCGACCTACAGGTATGACCCACAAGGTAGTAGAGCAACGTACGGAGATGCAGTCTCATGGTAGACGGTGACCAGTAATTGGTTCCTGTGCGTTTTGTTCTCTCAGGATCGTGGAGACCATGTGCACCATTGGTTTAGAACGAGGGTTTTCCAACTCTCCTATGTGGATCCTCCATGTCTACCAACCCGGTTAATGCGCCGGGCATTCGATTCTTGTCCTCTCAAATTCGTAAATAACAGTAATACCGCGAGAAGGCAGTGAATAGGACTTGTATGGTAGTAGCTGTATAGGCGTGGCGATGTGGGAGCATTTGGAGCGGGGGAGCTGACTCTTCCCAATCTCAGTTGTACCAGGGCATTTGGGGGCATTCAGTTATTGGAATCCGGTCATTATATTGACAGTTGAACATTATGTATGTGTGTATGTGCACAAATAAATATTTGTAATTGTAATTGGGTAACTTTGTAAAGGATAACCAGAACTATACATTTACTTAATTCGGCTATGAAAATCGGATTAATTAAATCTCTGTAAAACTTCAATGCAGACAAATAAAGTTCGGATCAGGTACAAGGGATTTATCACTTAAATACTAATGTCTTACATTTAACTGCATTTTCTCTTAGTAAGACATATAAATGAACAATATTGTTCTCTTTATTAGATCTTCATCAGTCTTTATTCAATTTAATTTACAGTAATATTTATTTCAACGTATGTAATCTGAAATTTATCAAGGTAGTTTATGATAACAATCGAATAGATGATGTAATAACAGGTATTAGTTGTAATAAGAATAACGCCCCCAAATGCCCTGGTACGGCCGAAGGTGGGAAGAGTCAGATCTCCCTCTGGAAATGCTCTCACATGACTATGCGTATATAGCCACTGCCACACAAGTCCTACTCACTACCTTCTCACGGTATTACTGTTGTTCATGAAATTGAGAGGATGAAAAAAGAATGTCCGGCGCACTAACCGAGTTGGTGGATATGGAGGATCCACCTAGGGGAATTGGAAAACCCTCATTCCAAACCAATGATGCATATGGGCTGGCTCCACTATCCTGAGGGAACAAATGGCATATGAACCAATCGTTGGTCACCGGCTACCATAGGACTGTATCTCCTGAAGTTACTCCACTTCTTTGTGGATTAGACGTTTAGGTCAAAGGCTCGGGGAGTGAACTCCTAAGATAACTACCTGCTTTGGTTTGGGCACCCGGCCAGTATCTAAACCCACACAAAAATCAAGTGACTTATGCAGCGCATATGTATTCGGTACCCCTTTGTAAGAATAGTTATGTGTTGAAATAAATAAGAATAACAAATGTTGGAATCAATGTCTCAAGATGGGAAGTAGACCAAAACTTGAGGAAAAAATCCATAGTCAAATAATCGTCGTTAAAAATGATCAAACTAGGCAATAAGAGATGTATTCAAATAATTAAATAGTAAAGAATATATTTGTGGAAGTGATGAAGAAAAATAAATGAACAACAAGCCTAATTCAGCCACGGAAACGATAAGGTTGTCAAAATTTATTATAATGAATACAATGAATTGGGTTGTTAGCTCCAAATCCCTATGGCTTCTGCTATATATAAAAGATGAAATCAAACCCTATAAAGAATAGTAGTAGTTATGCGGTAAATTGCTCTAAAGGATTTGGTCCTACCTACTACTTGACCTCTGTCTATCAAATGTGATAGATCTCAGCTAGCTGTGTATTATTATGGTCATAATCTTTCTCAACCACCTAGGGAGTAAAACCTAATGGGGGATCTAATTAGAAACAATATCATTCGCTTATATGTGTTATTCTAGTTTCCAATATAAGAGTTTTTTAGTATTCCCTTTTATCAAATCATTAGTAAACTTCATCTATCGACTAAAGGTATAGTTGTAAATATTCATTGATCTGGTCAATTGAATTGATAATATGCAAATATGTATCTAAAGGATTTAATTACTTCTAAGATATAAAACATATTTACTACATAGATTGTATGTTACACATGTTCCTCATATGTCTAAACAGAAAGACGATGAGCAGAGTTTCAGTGAATGAATGAATAATGAGGAGTTAAATGTTCCACATATCTGAGATGCAACTGTTCAGTTGATTAAATATTATATCTCAAAGCTGTATTATTGTCACTTTGATAGTTATGATGTTTTCATTAGCAATAAACATATGTTGAAACTCATCTTTACAGTCCTTTTTTAAGAATGAGAGATGTTATTACACATAGAATGAAAAATTCACAGTTTCGGACGTTACCACTGAGATACTCGAACCGCAAATGACCTGTGAAATAGTTATATTTATAAGGAGCATTAGATTCTTGAAGATTGCAGATATGACTTGTTGATGAATCTCAACTAGTATAAAACTTAGGTCAAGTAGGGTTTCTTTCTGACTACATCCAACTACCTAACAATAAATAATATAATGCACGTGATGTTTTGTCATGTAGACTAGTGGGTCGCATTACTGCTTGATCAATAGAATTCTGTCAGTTTTTAAGACTACCATTTAATGATCAGTCAATGTGATGAAACACTATATCATTAATAAGCACTAATTAATATCTCATAATTGGTCGGCATTTACATTCCTTCCTTCCTTCCTTCCTTACTTACTTACGCCTGTTACTCTCAATGGAGCATTCCATGTACCTAAATAAATGGTCACTCTGGTTGCCGTACGGGGCATCAGCCTCGTGGCTTTTGAAGTAACTCGACTTACACCATGAGGCGTCATAACTCTTCTAAATGAAAATCTTCTAACTCCCAGGACAGAGTTTTGATGGCTTGAATAATTTTTTGGTTAGTGTTTTTTTAGCGAGTTAGTTTTCTACGGGAAAGGGTCGTTAACCCCATACTCAACCCTCCTCCTTTATCCGGGCTTGGGACCGGCAGTAGCCTCAGAGGAGCTCCAGGCGGAGTTATATACAACCTTGTCTATGTTAAACTATATTGTGGGCAAAAAAAGCTTAGTGATAATACTTTTGACTGGGGTATCTTTCAAATCTTTGGGAGAGAACAAGGTTTTTCAAGATTACTGATGCTAATAAACACAAAGCTGTGTAGAATAACTGTTTCTGTACAACTCTATATATCTAACTCATCGTCTTAGATTTTTTCAGACTGAGAGCGTTTAGTGGTTGAATGCAAAGAAGTGACTAATTAATAACATGTTATTGTAGACTAAAACGTATTTTTTTTTAGTATCAACACAATGTATGAAGGTGATCCATCTTATATCAACCAGTAATTCTTAGTATTAATTGGATTTTGAAATAATGCTCGGTTTTCTGCTTCACACCAATAAGATACGAATTTACCTCAGACGAATATCTACAGTAGATACTATACCAGTGTCTATTCTACAAAACTTTAACACCACTTTGATCAAGAATATATAACTGGTCTGAATAGAACGTCAGTAGATCTCAATGTCAACACCAGATAATAAGAACAATAACAAGAAATAAGAAAATATATCAACTATCTACTAATCTGCACTAAGTAAACAACCTATTACTACCATTGAAGTAATTACTTCTATGAATTCGGTGTTCATCTTGTTGTGTTAATGAGGTATGGCAACTTAAACCGATGCATATGTTTGCCTTGTTCTACATTGTAACTGACTGAAATAAACAACTAATCACTATTTTCTTTACCCAGACATCAGATTCTGTCAACTATAAAAAGTTCAGTGTAATAAGTATATTGACTATATGATGTGTCGTTTTAAATCAAACAGTTGAAGACGATATGAACTAATCTCTTCCGTATATATATATATTTTTTACATTTTTTGACTCTATTTAACAAGGTGTGTCTGTTGTTATAGAGCACACTCTGGAGGTCGAGATAATAATTTATTTTTGTCCATACTGGATAGTGTAACATCGAGTATTCCACTGTCATATCTATGTCGGTGGTGTCCATTGATCTGTTGTTATAAAGTAACTTATACTCTAATGATTGACTAGATTGATTTACATGATTCAATCCCTTATTCTTAGTTATTCAATAATACATTTTCATCTAAGTTCCAAATCTATCTTAACTGCTAGTATCAATGTTATTGGTACCTTTTAAATTCACTTTAATCATTTGAAACTCATCATCATCACTACTAATATCCGAAAGGGTTTTTGGAGATTGTAGTAATTTCAATAGTTGAGATCGTGATTCACTTGAAGGTAGACCATCACCATGGAAAACCTGGAAGCACTGCTTGACGTCCGTTTCATCCTATTGTGGGACTCCTCAGCAGTGCGTACCCACAATCCCACTGCGCGAGATATCGAGCCCAGGACCTATCAGTCTGGCGCACAAGTGCTTAACCACTAGACTACTGAACCGGATGGTTAGAGACCCTGAATGACATGGCTCAAAATCGTTTGCAATGGTGCAGGTGCATCCACTCTCTGTGTTCTCCCAAATTCTAATCTTCTGAATTCTTCATGTCCCTATTTTCCTCTTTCCAAATTTATTTCACTGGATTATACTCTTTAAATAACATCTCCAAACCCTAATCTTCCCGATTACTGCTTATACTTTTATTACCTCTACCACTACGGGATTTGAATCGACAACTACATCTCTGTGCTAATGTGGTGTGGCAACTCGAACTGATGTACGTACGTACGTACGAAGTTCTACGTTGTTACTGACTGACTGACTGAACCGGTATCCAGGTTTTCCATGGTGATCTAGCTTCAATTGACTCATGATCTCAACTATTGAAATCACTACCAATATGTTAAGTTTTAAACATTGATAGTTATTTACAAAAATGTTCATCATGTCATAAATTACTTATGTATGTGTTTTCTCTTCTCTTTTTCCCGAAAAAAAAACACACACACATTTGAATGAAATGATGTAGGCTCTTTATTTAATTGGTACAAACGGTAAACCAGAGATTAAAGAACGTGATAAATTAAGTGCAGAGTTTCTAGATTTCTTAGATCGATGCCTTGAAGTCAATGTAGATTTACGTGCATCTGCATTTGAACTACTTAAGGTGAGTATTTTTTTTTCTTAAATCATGTCCTTTTAATTATGTATTTATCTATTTATTATCGATTAGAAAATACTGTTTTAGAAATATTGTTGGTATGTCAATAGCGGAATAATGCTCGACCTCGTACTTACTTACGCCTGTTACCCCCAATGGAACATAGGCTGCCGACCACTATTCTCCAACCCACTCTGTCCTTGGCTTTTCTTTCTAGTTCTATCTAGTTGTCGTTCATTCTTCTTATATCTATCCATTTCTCGATGTAATGTGTTCTTTGGTCTTGAGGATTCCACGTGAGGACTTGCCTTGTGACGCAGTTGGATCCTTACCACAATGTGTGTGCCATCCACTTGCAGTACTTCTTTGTGCTTTCTTCCTCCACTGGGATCTGGTTTGTTCTCTTTGTTAGGGATCCTGAGGAATATACCAATCATTATCATGTTAAGTCTAATGATGTCCTTGGACTCTAAATGGGTATTCCCTATTGGCCATTATTTATTTCAATCGTTAAATATTGTACAGATGTTGTTTTCTATTTTTATGGTACGATGTGGTCTGTTTAGTTGGTATATAAACAGAGTATGTTTGAAATACAACGATTCATATCTCAGAGGCTAAGATTTGCGTTCTGGACTCAACTGGCTGGGCTAGACAGCGAAGCAGGGCCAATCGGGACTCTAGGTCGTTCATTACGTGTTTCCGTGTCACTGAATCGATCGATATAGACGCTGCTTATCAAAACCTGCAGTCAACCCGTTACAACACTCTTCCACAGTAGTTTGTTGCTGATAGTGTGTGGTCAACGGATTTGAAGTATTTTGCAGAGACAGTTGTTGATAAACACTTGTATGTTCTGGATGATGGTTTTCATAATTCTCCAACTTTCCGCTCTTACTGATACTAATAATAATAACATAAATACCATACTCGTTTAGCAAGTTAGCAGCTCCCCTGACTTATTAACTGAGTAAATATGGGTGGCTGTTTGAAGTGATAATCATTGGGTTCGAGTCTCGTTATGATTACGAACACTGGGATTCGACAGGAAAATCCTTTTGAATAGTTCCAAATAAAGTAAAATGTGCGTCCTGGACTTTACTACTAGTCACAACCTTTCTTTTCTATAAATATTTCTGATATCAGTTCATTAAGTTGTAAAAATTTGGTGAACTATCATTTCACATTACTCTCTATTTACCTATTCTACCGTAATTTAACATGTTGATTATTCTCAACATGGTTATTGCTGATGAATGATGAGTAAAATGTCTCAAACAATTCAGAAACAGAAGGACATCGGTAAGTCATGCACAATGTAGAATTTGGCATATATATGCATCGGTTCAGGTTGCTACACCATATCGGTACAGCAAGATGCTGGAATACTATAGGTAGTAAGAGTGTGGTGTGTGCTGCTGATGTCGACAAATATAAGTATTATGTATCATCAATCGAAAGTGAACTACCTGGCGGCAGAAGGTTAAGAAGATCAGAGAAAAGAGGATGATTGGTGTGGAAACAACGAAACAAGAAAGCATGAAACGATTGATTAACATTTTGCAAGTGAAGTATTTATTGTATAGTTGTAAGATTTTACTGAGAGATTCTGTAATTTTGTATTGAGATACATTTGGTTGTCCCCACGTGTGTTCTCGTCACTCCCCCCTTCCAGCCAAATAAATTGGTGAAGCCTATTAGGCCCTTCTGGAGAGAAACAGGCCACATCGAAGCACGGCAAAACTACCGGGGCCAGAATAGTCGTTTCTGAAATCCTTTGAAGTTTGCCCAATGACGAGCAACTCTATATGATGCATGCACCACTTTCGAAAATTTTTTGTCGTTTTCCATTCCAAATGTAATTGTGCTATGTTTCTCTGTGGGTTTCGTAATCGATTGGTCGGTATAGGTAAGAGTGGGTGATTAGCCCGATCTCCACCACCCAGGTTACCGCTCACGTTAGTTTATGAGTCATTCGTTTCATTATCCAGGAGGCACGACGCGGACGTGTGAGTCAGATTTTGCCTCGTTCACTACAAAAGTACTAATGGCAGTAGTAAAGATTAGGCATCCAAGATGTAACTTTAAAAAACCCATGGATTCATGGAATAAAAAAAAATACCTTTTAGAATAATTCAGAAACTTCAGCACATCAAGCAAGATAAAGCATGAACATATTTGCGTCATTGAAAACAGTTTTGAGCCATGTCGAATAAACCCTCTAACCACTGATTACAATGATCACACAAATCTCGAACCATATAGCCTACATCTGCACGCCACATCACTATCTTCGATCACTGCTAACTTTCTCCATATTGATTTTCTATTTATTGGCTTATTCAGTAGTAGTAGTAGTAGTAGTATGATACCTGGAACTAATTTATCTGTCCAATCATATTAGATTCCACATTATTCAATCATTCAACATTATTATCCTTATTTAATAATCATAATCATAACTTCAATCATAGATCATTTAAGGTAATAGTAAATGTTTATCAATTGATATAGTAGTGTATTATTATTATCCTTAAATGATAATTCATTTTAGACTAGAACAGAATCATACAGTCCCTTCATTGTATGAGATTTATTTTCACAGAATGAATCAAATATCCACTTTAAATGAATAAATAAATAAGCATCAAATAGATGTGTATACTTTGAACTTCTATAATACATAATGACCATTTCATTGATATTGATTAATTTGTCATTATCTGGATTGATTATATTACTATCTCTCTTATGTCAAGCATCATCTTTTATGTATGAGTTATTTAGCAAGTATTGAAATTCATCTAATTCACATTGAATCTACTAGTTATAAAGCTTTAAATAGCTTATATAATCATTTATTCATTTGAATACATAAATATTGGTACAAAGAGGCACCGGATACATATGCGCCATATAAATCATTCGATTTGTGTAAGGGCTGGGATACTGCCCAGGTGCCCAAACCGAAGCAGATGGTTATCTTAGGAGTTCACTCCCCGAGCCTTTGACCTAAAGGTCTAATCCACAAGGAAGTGGAGTAACTCCTATGGTAGCCGGTGACCAACGATTGGTTTATATGCCATTTGTTCCCTCAGGATAGTGGAGCCAGCCCATATACACCATTGGTTTGGAATAAAGGTTTTCGAACTGTCCTAGATGGGCTCTCCGTGTCTACCAACTCGGTTAAAGCGTTGGACATTCTGTAGCAACCGAACAACCAATATTCGGATGGAACAACGGACTGACGAACTCAACATTTATTCGATTAGACCAGACCACGTTCCTCTGTATAGCTCACAACGTGTTTTTGAGATACTCGTATTATATTATATCAAAACACAAACTCTGTGCTCAATAGAAACGGTTCTAATTTAGAAAACAGAACAAATTACATCAAAAATACAAAATACCTCAAACGGTACAGACTGTGCTATACAGTCAGAAGTTTCTCTAACGCAAAGTAACGCGCTAAACAATAAAAGAAACAGTTAGTACCAAAGGGTTCGATACCTGAGAATCAATACAAATATTCCCAACAAGATGGGATCAAACATCTATCTGCAGGGATTCCAGCAATCCTACCAAATAGATAGTCATAAGGTTAACAGGCACACACTGAACCACGCCATGACCTTGAGCTTAGTCAAACACGACCTTTCTGTCAATAGTCTGGTAACATGCACTAGAAAATTAGGTAACAAAAGATAAGTCTTTAATTAAAATCACATAATAAAGGCTCAAACGAGGAAGACTGGAGAACAAAAGATGTGGTTAAATAAGATGTGAACAAAGGTTAAAATACACAACAGGGAGAAGAAACAAATAAATGACAGTACTGTCCAACAAAAACGCTGCGAAGGGATTTTCAGCGTTCGCTTTCTGTTACGCATTCTCTTATTGTCCTTTCAATTTCGTAAAAAAACAGTAATGTCGCGAGAATGTAGTGAGTTGGAATTTTGTGACAGTGGTTGTATGCACGTGGCCATGTGTGAGCTGACTCCGCACTTTCGGCCATACAAGGGCATTGAGGAACTTCTATAAAAATTTCAATTTATTTCAATATATTCTTGAAATGTTATGTTATTTTCTTTCTTTTGTTTTTTAAACTTTTTTTTAATAATATTTTAGCATCCTTTTATTGTACGACGTTCAAAACCGTTATCCTCTTTAACACCGTTGATTTTGGTCGCTCGAGATCAAGCTAGAAATCAAACACAATAATGTAAAATACCAACATTTCAATATTATCACTTTATAGAAAAAGATGAAGTAGTAGTAGTAGTAGTAGTAGTTGTTGTGGTAGGAGTAGTAGAACAATAATAACAACAAATTCCTATTCTAATTCCATCTACTCCTGATGATGATTGTGTGAAGTACTTTATATTCAATAGGATTTTGTTCAATTGATTAATCTATCCGATTATCAATATTCATATAATCTTCTATGTATTCATTCTTTCCTTCATCTATCCATCTAATTACTATTATTATTATTATTACTACTACTACTACTACTACTACTACACACATACACATCTATTTTCCAACTCTTTAACATTTCATCTCATGAATTATGACATTATTGATCAGTTGAACCAGTCATTTGTTTCCATTTGAAGTAGGTAAGGAGAAGGAGGAGGAGCGGTTACAGATGTATGTTTTTCTTTCTTAATCTAATCTCCTTTTAATTCTATGATACTATCATGTAATTTTAGATTAAATTTTGAGTATTGTGAACAATCAATGTAAATGTGTGTGTGTGTGTGTTTTCTTTTAATACCTCTCATATTATTCTATTGTAAAGTTAACCTATGTAATCAATTATTATATAATAATAATAATAATAATAAGAGAATTTACATGACCTATCTATTGAAGGAAACGCTTTTTTTAGATGATAGAGCCCCCCTCACCATCGTATAAACATGCATACATATAAACAGGGAATATGAACTCATCATTTCATACTTAACAACTAAACTTAAATTCTCTTGTTACATTTTCTTTTTTTTTTTGTAATGTTTATCAATTGACAACACATGTCTTCCTCAACATGTTCATAAGTACGCACACGCATGCACGCACATGTGTATGTGTGTGTGTGTGTGCGCTCGTATGAATTGGTGTATTTTCAATGGTAAAACCTGATTCCTGTTGTTACTTGGCTCTTTTCTTTTTTTTGTTTTCTTTTCTGTTTTAAAGTATTAAACACAAAAAAACTTATTGAATTGCTCATACCAAAAAAAAGAAATTTTTTTTAATATTCCGATACTACTGTTTAATGTACATCGAAGCTATACATATATATATATACATGTTTTATATAATTATGCAATAATATTTAACAAAATCCATACCATATTACTACAACATCAAATTTATTTTTTATGATCAATTTACATAGATAGGAGGTCCTCTCTTTCTCTCTCTCTCATGTGTACTCGTCTGTGTGTGTGTGTGGGGGGGTACACTCGGAATACTTATAGAAACATCGATATGTATATACACACACACACGTACACACATATATTACACACTACAAGATCAATTCTCTGTGAAACTCATTATTTTCTTTCTTCTTCTTTTCGTTATTTCCTCTTTTAATTTCAGATTCCTTTTCACGTTTGGGGGGGGTGTCTTTCTTCTTAAAATCCTTAAATGTTGTTGATATTATATTATTGTGTTTCTAATTGGATACGTATTCATGGTATGATGTAATGCAAATCATGATGTTGTTGATGATGATTGCGCTTGTTGTCAAGAGGAAAGCCACTTTATCATATGATCACTGCTTGTTTCCACATCATTTATTTAGTTGTCTCTTATGAAGAGGTATATATATATATATTTATATATGTGTGTAATTTTTTTCAATTCCTGTGATGATTTTGACGTTTGTGTGTGTGTGTGTGTGTGAAAAAGTGCTCTATTCTATTATTTCTTTTCTGTTATATCACATTAATGATTTTGTTCTTTTAATAATTTGTTTGTTTTGTTTTGTCTATTTTGTTTCCTTCTATATTGTGTTAACCTTGGAAACTAATTGATTTTTAATTTTTATCTAAATATAAGTAAAAACAGGAATATTTATACATGCATATATATATATACTCATGATTGTTACTAGGCATAGATAATCTTTATGTCCGATCGATTCTTATGATAATGTGATTTGTCTCCTTAAGGTGTAATTAATCTTCACTTAATAATAATAATAATAATACGTGGGACCCCGGCTAATTATCTTTTTTAAAAATATGAGAAATAAAGCGACCGTTTCGTCCTAATATGGGATTGGTCAGCAATGCGTATCCACAATCTCACCCCATGTGATATCGAACCCAGGAGCGATATGTCTCGTGCGTGAACGCTTAACCTCTAGGCTGGCATTCAATGGTGTTGATGTCTAACTTTGACCAATCCATGAAATTGAGCGACACATCCACCATTGTCTTCAGGGAGTTACTATCTCACAACAGACCTGGTTGGACTCCACTGGTCACTGCTCCTCACAAGAACTCCAGGAAATAACTCGTGAAGCCAATCACTAGTGAGTAGATGTTGATTAATATCGGAAGGAGTTTTTGTGGAGATTATAGTAGTTTCAATAGTTGAGATCACGAGTCAATTGAAACTAGACCACCATGGAAAACCTGGAAGCACTGGATGATCGTTCCGTCCTATTGTGGAACTCCTCAGCAGTGCGTACCCACAATCTCATCCCGCGAGATATAGAGCCCAGGACCTATCAGTCTAGCGCGCGAACGCTTGACTTCTAGACCACTAAGCGAGTATCCAACGGTGTTATGTCTAACTTCAACCAATTCACGAAATAGTTTAAACAACATGTATATTTATGAGATTTTTCAATTACATTTTAAAAATCAATCATAACTATAATTTCCTCCTCTTATTAAAGTCAGATTTCAGTATATGATTTTGGCGACACTAATTTATGGACGAACCTTAAGCAACCTTGAGAAATATTAGCCAATTAACAAACTGTCAGTATAGATTAAAAATATATTATACATAACTAGAGAAATAAAGCGGATACACTTATACGTGGTTCAAGAACTTGTCAACGTTAGGAAGAGGTTCACAGGTTCTAAAATCGTAATGTATGCAGTAGAGGAAATAATCCGTACGGCTACAGAATAGTCGGCCTCTCGAGTCATGATAAAGTCTCAAATACTCTTTCAGTTACGACCACATAGCTTCAATATTGTTTATGTGCACTCCGGTTGTTGAGTGCACAAAGTGCTACTTGTGTGTAACGACACGATGCACATAATCAGGCCTTTGAAGAAGTCTGTACGCTCTCCAAATATCCGTATATATATTAGTACCTGGCTGCAGCCAGTGTTACTGGTGCTTTTATTTTCCAGTTCGCGATAATTGTCATAATTTGCCTTAGGAATTATATTTAGAGTTTTCATCAGGAACTGACACCAGCCATAATGCCAAAACTCTGTTTAGCCAAATAGGTGAGTGAATTTTGCGCCAAAATCCGAGATCTATTGTCTTATACCTGGTTGATTCGTCCACAAACCATAGTCCCGCCGTTTTATTTGTTATAGCCGCTCAATTATCACATTTTGTACAAAATTACCTGTGAACCGATCGTACGTTAGCATTAAGCACTGAAGTTGGCGCCGTGACCTTGAAATCCCTCAGACGCTTCTGATTAGCTCGTCCATAATTTAAAGTCTTGCCATGATTTTAAATATATAATGACTTAACTTATTTATCAAGTATCAATTTGTGTACTTCATTTCGAACTATATTTTAAATATGTATAGGTGTTAATCAAATCAAACTACGTGCAATAGGCTTAGAATCTGTTACTTAATGGTTGGATTTCGAACCCACTAATCACTGAACCCACTGCTGTATATTGAATTGATGGGTTTTCTGTTATGTCCTTGATCTGTCTACCCACTTTTGATGCTGAGGATAACTTGTCTAATCTAGAGATTAACACCTTGACCCCATAGGCTGACCGGCTTAAACTTGAAAGGTCAGTATGCGTGAGTTCGAAGTGGGATAGAGAAAAGAAAACTATTCTATCACCTGATTGGCTGATAAGCATGCGAGTGAAAGAAGATAAGTCAACTAGAACACTACTCAATTTATTCTCAACTCCGATCCGGTTCCCAATTTCTTGATATCAGATCAGTGTAAAAAGATACATGAATAAATAGATGATTAACCCACCACAATGTCCAAAACTGGGAATTAAAGTAGAAAATGAAGTACAAACTAATACGTTTAAATTACAATAGCTTTAAAATAAAAAGGGTTATAGCAGTGAATCATACATCAAACGAAAGCTTATGATCTGTAGAATAGATTAGGGACAAAAATAAATGTCAGTGTTTTACAAGCTTTGAATGAAATGGAATAACGTCCCAAAAACTAGTTTTCGTAGTTTGTCAAGGTTTCTTGTTTCTCTGTTCACATCAGTATTCAAATAATTTATCTTGTGTATACACTAAATCTGATACGACTGGGCACCAAAAGTAGTAAACACCACACAAAATAAAGACATGAAATAGAGGATGGAAAGGTAGTACGATCCAGAATGTAAGTGGACAAGAATACTATGTAATAGGGTATACAGTTCATTTAAACACAATGAAGAAAGAATTCATTCATTGAATGGAGTTCCTGTCACTTTTATAAAGAACGTAAAAGAAAACCATAGCAGGATCACCATGGGTTTTTGTTTTGAGTCATATCTGATAACTTCTCCATGGAGTCGTGATAAACTTACAGATATCAGTCCTATACAGCTTTCTTTCATATCACTGCATCAATCCTCTTTTCCCACTCAGTCTCAGCGTTGGCAAATAATACACAACGTTCTCAAAACACACCTAAAGCATCGAAGTCAGTGTTTCAAGATAGTCACACTAGCTGAATTATTTTCTCTGTACCCAAATACGTTTCCGAACTTCTATACTACTAGGGTGGTGTTGCCACTGGATAGTGGCAGGGATGATCGAACATAAGGAGTCACCGAAAATCAACTCGAAAAGCTTAGGTTCCAAAAGCATGGGGCAAAACTGATTTCATCAACGCGTTGTAAGCCCAACTTTTTACAGCTGAAAGGACATCATTACGACTATAAAAGTGATCCGAATTGACCATTATGACTCACTATACATGAACTGATTTCATCTACCGTGCCACCATCACTATTCACAATTACCTCTAGGTATGCGGACTTTTCGACTACTTCCAATGAATCACCAAAAAGAATAATTGCAAGCAGGGATTTTCCCCCAGTCTTACAGAAGCGCTTTACAATAGGAAGGCGCAAGGTATATGCCATACCTACAGACACTAATTGTCAATTAACTAGTTGTAGCTTGAATCGATTATATATCATCGCACAGTAGGAAAATACTATCGTTATATCCATAGTTGAAAAGTCCTTCCGGGAAACAGATTACCACATACTTCCTTCAGATCTATTTCCAGAATATCCTCTACGGCAAAGTTAAGGAAGAATGGTGAGA